GGAATTTTCAGACTTGTGAGTTTGATTCAATGAATATGTTATGAAAATGTTTAACTATACACACACTAAAATTGAATAATATTTTCGTGTTTTGTGATGTGGACAGATGAAATGGAACTCACGTCTGAAGTGTTTACAAATGTCCTGAAATTCTTTCTATACTAAAAGCAACTATGAGATGTTCTAATGTGTTATGTTGCTAAAGTTTAGGTATGCTCGATGCAGTGACTTGCTACTCATTGCTATTGGAACGATGTTTGCGGTGTGTCATGGGGCAAGCTTTCCAATTCTTGCTCTCATCTTTGGACAAATGACGAACACCTTAATTGCACAGGTATGTCGCTCTTATTCCGAGCCTTGGATAAGAATTTAGTTGTCAGTTGGCATAAAAACAGAGTATTATTTAGGTTCTCATGGCTGTGAGTATGAAGACGGCTGTCTTTGTGCTCTGTGGTCTGGTAGGAGTTTACCAATGTTTCATAGGTCCTATACCCATGATATAGTACGTCATGAATGATCCCTGATGATGGAGGAAGCAAGGACCTCTGAAACATAAATGAAGAAATTTTATATTCTGAAATCCATTACCATAGCTCCCTGAATTTTGTTTCTTGCACTGTGTTGTAAACAAGTCATAAGAATTGTCATGGCAACTGTAATTCTGTGCGTACATCAGTCACATATTCCTAAATGAAACTGTAAGAAATTATGTGATGATTAGCCTGCAGATTGTGCTCAACAATTAAGGAGCTCAGAATTTCTCATATCAAAAGTGCAGAGTTGTGAGGAGTTATTATGTCTCCAGTTTCAAAACCGCTTCTGTATTAATAGTCGTTTCCATATTTTGTGATTTGAGCTAAAAATACATTTTCTGTGTTCCTCAGAGCCTTGAAACCAACTCTTCGACTGAATATGACAATATAACTTCTAGCGGATCATCTGTCTACAACTTCTCTGATTGGGATTCTCGGTAAGCAGCAAGTTTAATGTCTTTGTAGAGAAAAATATGTAAGAAAATTTACAGGTTATGATGCTACATTTCATAACATTTTGCAGATAATTTACTTTCTTGTAGGAACCGAAGCTAATTTTTCTTTATGAACCGATTCAAAGGGTCAAAGTTATATATAGAGACTGACAGTTCACAAGTTTCTTCTGATGCAAAGACTTGAGACTGCATGGAGCCTGTTGCTAGGGACAAATTTGAGGTTATGATCACATTATTTATGCCCAGTGCTCTTAGTTATGTCCTTTACCAATAATGTAAAGACCTGAAATTTTCTTTGCACCCCATTTTCTTCTAAGTGGCGCACTGTCCAGAAGGCTCCACTTTTGTGTATGAGTGTGTGTATGTCAGTGGGGCAGACACCAAAGCAACCCTTGCACTGCAATCGTGATTGATCTGTTTTGCTTCCGTTCTTGTAATCCACTATTAGCCCCATATTAGCAATAAAGTTTAGAAGGATATTTGCCTGGTTTCAAGAAGAACCTATCCAAATTGCAAAGGCAAAGCTCAACGAAGCCTCACAGTCACAAAGAACATGTAACACCCTCTACAATTGCGGCTGCTAAAGTTCCCTAATTTGAGGAGGTGTCTCCTTAAGTAGCAGTAGTTCTGACATGTATTTTATTTGGAACCAACTGAGATTCAAGTGCTCAGTGTTTTTCTTATCACAGAAATTACAAAAATTCATGTAAGATTTGAGGTTTTCACAGCGATGAGTATGAAGATTTCTGTCTTCTGGGTTGTTGCGCTGTGTAGTCTGGTTGATGTTTACCAATGTTTCATCAGGGCGATGAATATTCATCCCCCTGATGACAGAGGGAGTATGACCTCTGAATAACATCGACCAGACTACACAGCGCAACAACCCAGAAGACAGAAATCTTCACAAAAATTCATGTCAATTAATTGAATACAGAACCATATTTGTTTCTCTTACAGTGCAGACAAGAAGCCACCATGGACCAACCAACAACCTGACTTCATGCAGTATATGACACAGTATTCAATCCTTTACACTTACCTTGGCGTGGGTGTCTTTATTGCATCTTTCTTGCAGGTAAATTTATTTGATAATGGCATCACATTTATATCCCTGTCTTATAGCAAATGTATTTCTCAATAAATTCAATATATTCTACCAATTAAAATATTACAATCATTAATAGGAAAGTATATAAAACAGTAATGACAGCAAATAGATGGTTATATTTAATCTTAATTGCTATACTTATATGCAGTTAAGGTGATGACGGAACAGTCTGTTGTGTAAAGAACATTTTAGTGTACATAAAAACTACATATTTCTAGTCTTTAAGATTAGTGATGATGGCTGGGATCGAACTTGGACATACTAAATTTCATCCCACTATTCAAAAGGTCTAATGTGTGATCCTAATGGTCACCAACAATCTTAAAACAAGTATAATAAATACTAAAGTTATTCTTCTGGGTTTGGACATCATACGGACTCACCAGCGGATCTCTCAGTACAGTGACAACAGATTACCTGGAGACAACAGAACCAATCCCAAAGTCTCATATTATGTCAGTACACATCAGGCAATCAAAACTTTCCAACATATTACTGTTATAATTAAATAACCATCATCGCGTGCCTGTCAAGGTACGCGATTTCCGTATCTCCCATGGAAAGTAATCATGAGATGCATGTCTCTTTTTAATATTAACAAATAATTGTAAAAAGTTCACGTTTTTGCTTAGAATTTGTTTTTATTCTCAGCAAAGCTATTGCTGTGCTTGTTTATGAATATGGCTGGGTGTTGTACCGCTGTGTTTAGTCTGCCTGAAGACAGCATTGGTACACGTAAAAAGGTTAATAGGTAACACAATGAAACTAGATCTCACTGTCACCAAAATCAGAAATATCTGTTTTATGTCAAAAAGATGGTGCGTTAATCAGCTGTCTTCTATTTGTATAAATTGTTATTCTTCCAGACATTGTGTTGGGAGTTGGCGTGCGAACGCCAAGTATATCAGCTCCGCCAAATTTTCTTTGCCCAGGTTCTGCGTCAAGATCTCAGTTGGTATGACTGTAACCATGGAGGTGATCTTACTACCAAGCTGTCCGAGTAAGTGTTTTAGTTTATTACGAAAAGAGTTTCAATTTCTCGTGCAGTTACGGCATGAAACTTTGTCGCTCGTTTAAGCTACAAGATGAGAATTCTTCTGGCATAGGATTTTAACTTCTATATGATGCAAACTTCATCACTATCAATTATGTTTATGTAACATTTCAATCAAGTTCACTTCCAATTCACATTTTTACAAACTATTACACAACAATCTTTTTTATAATTTTTTATCATCCATATATTTTATTCCAAGGTGACCTCTTTCCACGATATTTTCATAACTGTGTAATAAAAACTAATCAGTGAAGTAACAACACATCAACATTTGCATTTACCAGGGCCTAGCACTAATAATAAGTGTTTGCCTGATGCCACCTAAGTCTACGTTGAGTATGGAATATTTATGGGACCTTGCACCTCCCATCATGCTAATATAATAGAAGTAGTTAATACATTTAATTATATAATGTAATACACAAATAATATAATAGGACAGAAAAGAAAATATTCAAATGCAGCGTCATACGTAGACTCCAGATGGCATCGGGCAAACTTTTTGTATTACTTCTAGGTTGCTACTTAATTGTCTAGTTTTTTTATTAGATTGTTACGTAAATATTTCCAAGAAGATTATGAGTTGAGAAACAAGAAATGTATACAGTGAAACCTCTATCCATCGTTCCCGGAACTATCGTTTTCCCGGATGCATCGTCCGTTTTGTTCGGTCCCGAATACATCCCATATAAAATAATGTTACATTTTCCCGCTTCTATCGTTCCTCGAACTATCGTTTTATCGCATCGATCGTTCAAAAATCGTAGTCCCGGCCCACAATTTTCCCGCAATGATCGTTTCTGAGAAATTAAAATGCTGGGTTTTGAGATAAATTAATACCGAAAGACGCACAATGTTTTTGGAATACACAGTAGCGATAACCTGTTATGTCGCCCAACCAGCACATTCTTTTGGAATGAGGGTCAGCGGTGCAGGGGTGATAGTTGGAGTGAATGGC